ATGGGCTGCCCCAGCCTGGCCACACGAGGTGGGGCAGAGGCTCAACTTCTGTGGGAACCCAGTGCCCTGCAGAGCTCTGCCAACCAGTCGTGTTGAGAAGGGGTAGAAGGGAAGTGGTCTTTGTGCTGATCAATGCTGAAAGGAACATACTTATCTCTTGAGCTAGAGGAATGGTACCACAGGGGAAGAGACCCAAAATGCCCCTGATTACAGAGAGTGCTTTTCTTTCCTTTTCCAGTGCTATCTGGGGGATGCATTCCGCTGTGCCAGTTGCCCTTACCTGGGGATGCCTGCCTTCAAACCTGGGGAGAAGATTGTCCTGAAAGAGAACCAGCTGCATGATGCTTAACAAAGACATCTCTGGCTGTCCTGCAAAGGACTCTGCTGCCTTTCCATTACTCTGAGGTTCTTCCTGCAGTCCTCCTCATCCTCTCAAACTCATGCTCTCCGGCCAATACTCCGTGTGGGGAGGGGCACTGCGGGCACTGACACTGCTGTGAGCTCATCACTTGTAATCAGCCTTGGGCTACCTGACAAGTCACGTACCAGACTTCATGTTACACCTTGGTTTAGCTGCTCTCATCCTGGACTCTGGCTGTCACAGCGTGTCCTGCCAGCAGAGGGAAGCAGAACCAAGTGTCAGGTTGTCCTTGTGTGCCTGTGGCAGGACCCGGATTTCCCAATGCACGTGTTGTACAGCTCTAATTTGCCCTGATTTTCCCTGGTGATGCAGCAGCTCTGGCTCAGCTCCCCGGGGTTACACTGGGCTCCTGCTCTCTTTGAAATTTAAACCTGCAGCCCCTTACCTCATGAAGGTGGCTCAGCAGCTCCTGTTGCAAGTCAGGAGCAGGGAGTATACTTAGCAGTATGTACTCTGAGAAGTGTGTGTGATCTTCTTGGTAAAGTCTGGCAGGCATGATGAATTTCCAAGTGTTTTGGGAGTCCCTGCCCCCACCTGTTTACAGCAAAATGACAAAGATTTAGTCCCACCTAGAAAACTCCTGCCCTTACGGCAGGGAGCTGATGAAACAAGATCTGTCTTATCCTCCCACAGCTTTCAGTCCAATGCAAACTGATAACACAAGGGCAGTCTGAGACTGTCACCTCTCTTGGTGGTTACCAAGTGAGTTACCTGCAGTGTCCAATACATAAGAACATAGCAATAACTTAATTTCTAGATGATCCGTGGTCGACATCTGCTCCCTCTCCATGAGATACTATTTATTTATGTAAGAAGTTAGTGAAGTGTCCCACAGTTGTGGGATGAGGGAGCTGTTCACATTTTGTGCAGGGCTTGCTTCTCACCCAGGGTGGGAGAGGAGGAAAACCCACATCCAGTGTCTCAGTGAGGATTGCTTTGTTTGGAGCTCTTGCTCTTCAGGATGTGACTGCTTGTTGTGTGCTACCTGAGTTACTCACTAAACTCACGGAGGGGGCTGGGATGAAGGGCTGTTCTGTTCTTGAAATAAAAGTGACCAATAGTAAAGCCTTTGTTTTAAGGCTGGCAATAGTGGCATTCTAACTGTGTCTCTCCTTCTAGTCAGCCTTTTAGTGATTTCTGGAACTGTTGAAATGTTGGGTTTCATCTTGGAGTTCTCCATAAATTGTTCCTTTGAAAACTTGACTTGAATACATGATACATACTGGAAAGAATAGATGTTAAGGAAAACTGTTAAAACTTTCCTTCCTGACCATTCAGATGTTGCTTTAGGACTCATACTTGCACCACCCCAGGCTGTCACTGTTGGGACTGAAGCCCCTTCATGCCAGAGCATGGCTTTTCCAGACCCCTTCCTCACTCTCCTCCCCAGTCCCTGCCTTTGTCATCAGCAGGAACAGCTCCCAAGGAGTCTTGTGGTAAACCACCTGTCCAAACAGCTTATTGTTCCTATCTTGTGATGTAAGGAAATGGGCAAAAGCCTCTGCTCACTAACGGCTTTTGGGGATTTTATTGCCTTTTCTTAGTCTCACTGGAAGAGGAAGATCAGATGACTGTGTCTTCACATGAAAGGTCCCTGATAAAGGCAGCCCTTAACCTGAACTAGGCTTTCCTTTCAGAAGTAAATAAGATAAGAGAGGCAGGAAGCAGCAGCAGAAGCTTTTGTTTTACACTGATTCACTCAACTGGAATTCCAACAAGCTGGAAGCACTTTCAGCTACTGCTGAGTTCAGTCAGTGACGGTTAAGGCTGTATAATCTTGTTTTCTTTAAATAGCTTTACTTGCTCTTGCTGTGCCAGAGGCCCTCCAAGGGCGACAGTGTGGCAGTGGAGCATGTGCTGGGTGGGAGTATGATCCTGTAATGCTGGTTTCAAGGAGTATTTACCCTTTTAGCCCCCTTCCTTAGGGGGTCTCAGCAGATACTGTAAACACACCCTGCAGCAGAGTTTAATCTGCAGCTTCAGCCGTTTGCAGTGAAGCTTCTCTGATTTTTCTCCTAGTGGCTGACCTGCTCCTTGTTCTTCTGAACTCTTTGCTCCAGGCAGCCAAAGCCACCCTCTCTCCAGGTGACCTGGGTTGGACACACAGTGCCAGGTATGGCCTGTGGGGAGTTCAGGACTGACCTCACATCTCAAACGAGGCTGCTGAGAGCAGGTAGGACTGAAACCCCCTGCTCTGTGGCACTGAGTGAGCTTGGTGGCTTTATTTCTTTTGGGATATTGCATCATCCATCCTCCTCTGCACATTCCCTCTGTACCACTGCCTGAGGCAGTGGTTTATGGCACTGCAAAGATAAGCATCTGTTCATCCCCTTTTTGGTGGTTGTAAGTCACATCCCTCACTGGCTCATTGGCAGCCTCATCCTCCCTGTTGTTTCTCCTCCAAGACAGAGGTCAGTGCCTTCCTCAGCCTGAGCCATTTTCCTCCCCCAGTGTCTTCCTCTTCTGACTGATCTGTTCTCTCCTCTTTCCCTGCTCCATTTCCTTTCAGCTCTCTCTTTCTGTTATTCTTTCCCTAATTCTCTTATGTTTTCTCTCTTCTGTCCTGGCCTCTCATCTTTTTTATGCCATCCAAGTATACTGCAGTCCTCCTCACCCATCCCCATCCTTTCCCGTTCCTCCTCTTCTGCTCCTTGTCTTCTGTTTTTCCCCTTTGCCAGGTTTTCACACCATGACCCAGTCATATCCCTGTTCTTTCCTTTGTGGATTCCTGCTGCTTTTCCAGCAGGCAGGGAGCACAGTGGAGGCCAAGCTTCTCCCCTGACTTTTACTTTTGTTTCTCTGCCTGAATCAGGCTTCCTCTGCAGTGAGCAGAGCTTGAGGGGCAGCGAGGACACACTCTGTGCTCCTGGCTTGGAAACCCATCGTGGGTGTTTCACTCACCTGCCTTGGGCACACACAGGGACAAGAGGGCCCTCTGTCCATACAGAGGTGTTTGGGGCAAGGAGGGCATTGGGTTTATTACTTCTTTATCTTCACACACTTGCTTAGCTGCTTGTGATAGCAACTTTCTGAGAAGTGAAATTTGGAGCCTCAGCTCTGGCCATAGCTGCTTCACCTTTTTAGAAATAGCCAATGGCCAAAGATGCTGCCCCCACCCTTCCTGCCTCCACTTGAGACATTACCTCCACTAGTTCCTCAAGAGCCCTGGCTGCGTTTCCCCACCTCTTGCTCACTCGTGTAACTGCTCCAAGGCTATTTCATGGCTCTTGCCTGGTTCCTTGTTAAAAACACTCTCCCAGATCTGATCCCCCACTAACCTTGGGGTTATGATGCAGCACTATGACTGTCCCAGCTTTCTCCACTTCATCGGTTCACAACTCTTTTCTGATGAAACAATGGACCACACTTTTCCTTCCTCTTCTTTTTAAGGTAGTTAAGCAAATGCAGAGCCTTTTGCAGCCCACTAACCATGGCTGCTTGTGACAGGTGACTGTCTGGATATTCTGGTTAAGCAACCCCAGCTCCTTCAGCTGTTCCTCATCAGTCTTGTGCTCCAGACCCTTCCCCAGCTCTGTTGCCCCTCTCTGGACACAGTCCAGCACTTTTTTTGTCATGAGAGGCCAAAACTGAACACAGGATTTGAGGTGCCTCACCATGCACAGGGGCATGGCCACTACCCTGGTCCTGCTGGCCCTGCTGTTGCTGGTACAAGTCAGGATGCTGCTGGCCTTCTTGCCCACCTGGGCACATTGCTGGCTCATGTTCAGCCAGCTGTCAAACACAAGGTGGCCCGCAGACCCCCCTCTGATCCTTGTTGGAATTCTGCCCCAGTGCCCCACCAGGAGGGTGCAGGATTGCTGCCTGTACATCCCACCCAAGAGCAAGCAACAGGTCTCCTTTCCACGAGGATAGGGTGGGAGCTGAATGGTGTCTGTTCTAAGCCAAAAATACCCTGGCCCTCCAGGGGTAGCTTGGAAACAACCCCCGAGGAACAATGGACAGTGAGGTATTCTGGAGATCCTCCATCTTGCTTCCTTTCTGCAGGCAGAAGGAGACCTTTCAATTTTTAATTTTCCAAAGTACAGGAAAGCTCTACATGCATGAGGACACACAGCCACTCCCAGTGCAAAGCAGATCCATGTGGATCATGGCAGCAGCACCCACAATGCACCTCTATGAAGCAAGTGATGCTTTTCCATATTTGTCCCTTGTGTTTCAAGTGAGTGAACCAGAGCAAGGTCAACCCCTGTCACAGCAGGTGCCTGCTCCAGGGAAAAATCCAGAAAACTGCTCCAGGACATGGCCACCCCACCCAGCATGTCCAGCACCAAGGGAACACCAAGTTCTTCCTGGACCGTGGTGGCCACACAGTGCACGAGGACCTTCCTGAAACATGGAGCGAGGTGTTAGAGGAGCCTGTCAGTGACTGGAGACAGTGAAAAGAGTTGCTGAGGCTTGGCTGTGCTTGGAGCTGCAGAAGGCAAGGGGAAAACCAGCTCAAGAGTCCTGTCATGCTGAGCCAGGAGACATGGCTTCTTCCAGGGGAACATACAGCACAGTGGTGGAGCCACTTGGGGGTAGACAGGTGGCTTTGGTCACCAAGATTGCACTTCTGTACGAGCTAACACCTAGTATTTAGGGAGAACAACCCCAACAGATGTACAAGCTGCTCACCCTTCCTTCTCCTTCATTTGCCCTCTCTGCTGGGGGAGACATACACTGCTGTGCTGGCTGCACTGGCATTCCCACCACTCTGCTTCTATTGTGATGGCTTGATCTCGGTGTAAATGATGCTGGAGGAGGCAGGTTTTGTCTCCTTTTCAAACTTCAGGTTGGCATAGGTCAGGTCCTCTGTCCCTGTCACCGGGGCTTCCTGCAGGGAGACAGCAATGAGTAGAGCCTTGGCTTTCCCTTCTGTGTTTCCTCTGATAATGTTTTTCCACTGGCACAACTATTTGCACTGCCCAAGCATTATCCAGCTTGCTCTGAAGTGCCACCTACTCAGACACTCATAAGCCCCTATTTAACGGGAATTAATAAGTGTTTAGGACCATGTTTTGAGAAAGCAAAGCTGATTTTACTCTGAAATCCTCTAAGTGGGTATTCAACAGCCAGTGCTTTTATTGACAGGGAGGAAGAAGTGATATGTGCAAAGCCCCCCTGGCTTACCCTGCTGAGCTGATCCACTTCTGCCACTTCCCTGCTTGTGATCTTTCCTGAAAAACAAAACATAGCAGTTAAAATAATGACAATGATAATTCTTTTAAATTAAGAAAATAAGGAAAAAACTAAGCAAATATTTGCACTGATTCTGCTTTTGTTGTAGTAGAGGATGAGGCTGTCTGAGCTGCCTGGCTCAGAAGATGACCAAGGGGCAGGAGAGGTTGGAAAGGGGTTAAAAGCCCTTGGAGGGGCTGGAGAAGAGCTCTGAGCTGGACACTTCTAAAAATGTGGTGATATGCAAGAGCTGTCTCACTCACACCACAGCCTGTGACATAACCAGGCTCCCACCAGCAACTGGCCAGAAGGGAGGGAGGGGCTGAACCTTCTCCCCACCCCAGGACAGCTTGTCCAGGAGGACAGACTTGTGAAGGGAACACTGAGCAAGCAGGAGCAGCAGGATGTTGAAGATGGACATCTCCCAAGCCCAGGTTTGTCCAGAGCAGCAGATGAGGAGGAGCTGCCAACCAGCCTTACCTGTTCTGTTCCTTCTGCACTGCCACAGCAGGAAGCCAAGGATGGGTGTGTAGATGAGTGTCCCCACCGCTAAGCCAAAGAAGATGCACAAGAGGTTGAGTCCTGCACACACAACACCACAGAGGCACTTGTGAGCCACCATCCCACTGTGCAGGGACACACATGCTGCCATCGCCTCCTTCACGGGGGTGGTTCTTTTCCAAACCTGGGCTTCCCAACCCTGAACCACCCACAGCCCCCACAGCCCTAGGGTACTGACAAAATCCTGCAGGGAGCAGTTTGCAAATCTCATCTGAACTCAGACGGGGGGTGGACAGAGCATCAGAGACCCTTGCCAGGGTCACAACCTCTGATCCACTGGTGCCTACCCAGGTTTGGCACTGGCTCCCACCCACTCATGGGAAAACATCAGGATGTTTTCCCCCTTACTGCTCCTCCTTCTTTTTCCATGAAGACTCCTCTTGCCCCTCACTCTTGCAGCCCTGGGGTTGTGAGGACATACCTGTCCAGATCTTCTCCTCTGTGACATTGGTCTGAAGTCCTGCAAGGCAACACCCTGAAAGACAGAAACATGAGTGAGAGACTGTCCAGAGGCAGAGAACACCCTGCACCATGCCCTGCTTTGGGGCAGGAACCTGGACCCCATAGCCCTGGCTGTCCCGCTCCTGCCCCTGCAGCTCCAGTCACCTCAGCACTCAGCTGATGTGCTGCAGCTGGAGGATATGGCAGGTCCTATTTCAAGGAACCAATGGCCCAGCAGCTCCATGGTGAGATGCATCTGCCAAAAGGGCTGGGCTGGGCTGGCCCTTCCAGTTCCCAGGTTGCTTTCAGGGGAAATGTGCATGGGGGAACCAGGGGAGTGCTGGTCGTAGCCTCCTTCTCTGCCCACTCATCACCCCCATGAAAACAGACCCACTGCCACTTACTGGGAACTGTCTCCTGTGTGCCATTTCCAGTGTCTGTTGAATTTATTCTTGTGATGGAGATGCTAAACTCACAGGTTCCCACGTGGGCTGCACTCATGCAGGGGCTGATGAGATTCGTACAGTTTTCTCCCGGAGCCATGGTGTTGGTTTGATTCCACGACTCCAGACCTTTAGGTTCGTACCACTTCACATGCACTGTGAGATTCTTTGACCAGATTTCAAGCTTACACTGCCTGATGTCTGACTTTTCTGTCTGGCTGATTGTCCCTGGAGGAAACAGAACCAAAAGTGATAACTGAAATACAAGTCACATATACGATTTTGCAGGTCATGTACCACTGGCACATATTGCTTGTGAAAGACACAGTGAAGTGACGGTCCTTTCTTCCAGCAGCTGATGCTGTCTTCCATATCTGCCTGCTAACCCTTCCTCACTGAACATCAAAATGTTGCAGGTTAATTAGTGCCACTGGATGCTGTGCAGTGCACAAGCTTCTCTCTGTCTCAGGAAGGACTGACAACGGGAGGATCAGGGAAAAGACACCTCCTCCTCCTCCTCTGACCTAGGTGGAAGGGTCTTCTGGCACCCAAGCAGGAAGTGCCACAGGCTTGGGCTCCACCATTTCATGGAGTGTGAGGTGGGACTGGGGGGTTGGCTGTGGGGAATTGTCAGTCTGAGAGAAGCAAAGAAAATATAGTAGGTAGATCCCTGCAGCCTCTCTGGCTTCATCCCATCCCCTAATGCTCACTCTGGAGTACTTAAGAATCACTCCTGAAACTCTGAGCTGAAGTCACTTCACACCTCAGCAGAGTCATCCCTCTTTCACCTCTCCTCTCTCTCTTCTTCAGCCCTTTCTCTCTGCTCCTGTGGGTCTTAGTGGATTTCTGTCCCTTACCACCTTTGCTCTGTTCAGAACGTCTGTTCTTGGACATGTTCTTAGTGTTCTTCATCCTGTCCTACTGACACATGGACTGTGGCTGAAATCTGTTGAGTGAGTCCTGCCAGAGGACAGCAGAGGGCTGGTTTGTGTTAAGGAATATCCACATCCTCCATATGAAGCTGACTCCCTCCACATTCATTAGGCTTATAAGTATTTGTTTACTTTCCCTCTGACTGTCTTCTCTCCCTGCTCTTCAAGGCAATTCTGGTTCAAAGCCTGAAGCCTGATATTGGGTCCCTGTGGGCACAGCTCTCAGCCTGTGCACACACAATTGCAGGGGGGACCCCTCTGCAAGGGGGGTGCAGAAGAGGTGGATGAATGCTGCAAGAAAAAAGGAAAAAGCAGCAGCAGCCTCTTCCCAAACCTCCCTGCAGGCATATGCAAAGAGGGAAGAGTTCAGAGCAGAGAGATGAGCACAGGGGCACTCACCAGTTGGCAGCCAGATGAGGAACAATAAGGACAGAAAGCCACTGGTCAGCTGGATCTCCATGATTTCCAACAGCCTCGTGGTGATGATGCTGGGTGCCTGGTGGGATCAGCCAGGAGGTTCCCGTCTCTCCTGCAGCTTGAGGGTCCCTGCTCAGCTGAGATGAGCTGAAGCCCTGCTGGGAGCTCCCCTCCTCACACTCAGCCAGACAGTTCTCTCTGTGCTCACAGGCTTCCCCTTCTCTTGCTTCAGCCCAATTCTTATCTCCACTCCGCTTGATTCCTCCTCCGGTTTCATCCTGACCACATACCCTTGGCCCTGAGCCCCAAGTAATGTATCCAGGAACTGCTGATGGCCCTTTCCCAGTGCCCAAGGGCCCGGCCCAGCAGTTCTCTGCTGCTGGCACAGGCAGGTGAGGGGAAAAAGGGCTTCCCCAGTTTCCTACAGCACCACCAAATCTGTTTTGTTTTACACCAGGAAATGCAGCCCTTGGAGGAGGCAGCGCTGCCATCACAGGGGGGGACAGGGTGATGTCCACACCCATCTAGTGTCCTTGCTGAGCTCAGGTGGGGGGGACCCGCACACCCTGCCAGCCCCCAGCCACCCAATTCAACACGGGGATGGGCTTGGTCACAATGTTCTGGTTGTGGGATGTACAAGCCCCAGCCAGGCAGGGACCGCTGCAGCCCCCTGCCCCCTGCTCTGGCCATGAGCATCCAGACCCCAGCTCCTGCCCTGCAGGGACAGGGTGCTGCAGGCAGCCCCTTGTATCCTCCTGCCACCTCTGGCAGGACAGACACCAGGACAGGAATGCCCACCAGGCCAGACAGTTTGTGTCACCCCTGCCACCAATGGGACATGGGTAGCACAGGCTGCAGGTGCAGGCCCCTCTGTGTCCCCAGTCTCTGTGTGGACAATCTCTGCTGCTCCCCACTGCCTGCCATCACTCTTCCTCGTCTGTGTTCAGAGCAAAACCTGCTCCCACCTGCCATTTACTCCCCTCACAGTAACCAGCCCCTACACCTGCCAGGCACACACAGCCCAGCCACGTGTGTCTCCTGGGGGAAAGGGTGTGCACTGGAGCTCTTCTCCATCACCCAGTGGAATGTCCAGGCTGAAGCACAGCTGAGGTCTCATCTGGAAAACAACCCACCTGAGGAAACAGTAACATCAGCAGGGTATTTACTGATGAGAGGGTCAGAAAACTAGATTCTTGTGGTACAAGATCCACAACAATGAGAAGCAAGAGGCTCTGTTCTCTCTTGCTCTCCCCTCCTGACCCTTTCATCTCTTCCCACAGTCTTTCTGATGTTCAACTTCCTCTCTGCACTGGAGGCTTCCTCTCCTCTCACCTCACAACTGCACAACAACACGTACTTGTTGCTTCCTTCCCTTTCATTCCTATTCTAGTTCTCATGTTTGCTGGCACTGATGAAGGTGACTGAACACGAGGTGAACCTTTCCACATATCTCGGAGATGGTGGATCCACGGATCCTGGAGCAAGGCAAGCCCTGCGGTCACCTTCCAAAGTCTCTGGTGCAGAGGATGGACAGGAGCCATCCTGACCCGGGTGTACTGCACATAAGTACAAGGCTTGCCTGGATTGCCCTTAGGAAATGGGATTCTTTGCTCAATTAGGAGAATTCTCTACATTCCAATTAGGACAGCGGGGAAATGGGCAGGTCACTAAAAGAACTCAGTAAGACCAAGTCAGTGATAGCAAAAACCATGAGCCCTTTCCATGCACAACCTCCTCCTCCTCCCTGATGGATCTGCAGCAGCCCTTCAGCTGAGCGCTCATCGCGGGGACGACGAGCTCCACGCTGATCTCCCATTGGCTAATGGAGCTGTCCGTCACCTGAAACCCCGCCTTCCCGCCGCTCTCCGGCCGCGGGATTGGTTGTCCTCTCACGCGGCAGGTGAAGCCGCTCCGGGCGCCGCCATGTTTTGAGCCGTTGCCCGGCGGAGGGGTGGGGCGGTGCTGGGCTGTCGCGCATGCGCGGGCCGGGGCAGGGGCGCCGCCCCGGGAGCGCGCGGCCGCCTCGGGAGCGCTCCCGGCCCGAGGATGCGCCAGGCGGGACAACCCGGGCGGCCCCGGCCGGGCACAGGTAAGGGCGGGCGGGACCCCTGGGCTCCTCCGCTTCCCCGGGGCCGCCGGGCCCTGAGGGGGGCACGGCCCTGCCCGAGGGCGCGGGGCTGGGAGGGGCCCGGAGTCTCGGTGGGACAAACGGCGGGTGGGCCGGTGGGGTGAGGTGTGGCCTGATCCGTCCAGCCCCGTGAGGGCGGAGGTGAGGTGAGGTGAGGTGAGGTGAGCCCTGCCCTGTCCCACAGGTGAGGCGAGGTCAGGTGAGCCCTGCCCGGTCCAGCCCCGCACCCCCGGTCATGCAGAGCCCCGTGGGCAGTGCCAGGGGCATCCCCGGGGCTGCCACGGCCCTGCCAGGAGCCTCGCGTGAGGGCCGGTTTGGTGTCCAGGATTTTCCAGCTGCTGCTGCTGTCTCCAGCATGGTCCCCACTGCCACCTTTGAGCTGAGGCGGTCCCTGTGGAAGGTGGTGTGCCAGGAACGGGGCCTTTCCTGCTGCACATCCAGGCCAGGAAGGACGGGGCGCTCTGCCGGGCTTGTCTCGAGGTGCGGTGGGAGCTGCGTGGGGCTGTGGGCTCGTGGGGCATCACACAACCCGCTGGCACTGCATTAGAAGCACGTTTAGTATCGAAAGCACATCGTCGGTCTCTGACATCAGCACATGAACCGTTTCATGCAGAGCCTCAGGTATGTTTGTGCCAGAAGGCTGGAGGAACAGTTTGACAGGAAAAAAATGACTCCACGCCATGGAGGTGACCTCCAGCTTCTCAGAGTGGCCCAGGGAAGTTCTCCCAGCTCTATTCCTGCAGAGACCTCACTGGCTTACAGAGTGATGCCCTCAGTTTCTACCAGCATTTCTGTCACCTTTGCTGTTCTCTGTGCAGAACTGACAGCTCTGAGGCAGCACCTCTGTTCACAGGAGTTCTCTGCAGTGCAGTAAAATCACAGGTGTGAGAGCCCTGCTTCGGAGTGAAAACCCGTGTGAAAACCTGTCAGAGATTCTCCTGCCTCCTTGAGATCTGTGAGGATGTCACAACCAGTAGCAACTTTATTAGTTGTACAGCTGCTGTTACAATCTTTGTTTTCTTTGCAAACTCAACAGCAATGACCAGCTGGATGGAAACAGTGCCCCTGTTGCATGGCCAGGGCTCTTCACAGCTTACCAGAGTCTGCTGCAAGAAACTACCTCCTTCAGATTGTTTTGTTCCTGCCTTCTCTGAGCTCTATTTGGTGTGCTCTTGTATGGTGATGGACAGTGAAAATTCAGGTTTTCTCCATCCAAAGCCACTGGTGACTTTATTACCCGTGGCATCTCTTCCAAACTGAGGAATCTTTTCTTTCTTAGATCTTCCTTATGAGAAGATCTTGATGCTTTTGATCTCCTCTGAATTGCTCCCAGTTCTGCTTCCCCCCACTCAGAGGGGAAGTACCGGACGTGCATGTTGAGCTCCAGAGGATGGTGCTCTGGGAACTTCTGTGGTGGCACAGTGCTGTTCTTGTAGCATCAGGAGTTGGTCCATGGCAGTAAACCAGCAGGTTTTGTGTGTTTGTGCCAATAGCTCTTAGTGGCACCAGCACAGAAGCACATCACATTTGGGTAATAAGTGAGTTTAAAATGAATTCCACCTGAGATTTTTTTTTTAAAGGGGCAGTTGGATAGAACACAGGAAAAAATAACACTTAAAATGAGTGACTGTTACTGAAATCAGCTTATCTGAGTAGCAGGAGTCTCCTGCTGCACGTGCTGTGCTGTGCTCTTAGAGCATTTTCAAAGAAATCAACCTTTTCTGAAGTGTTGTCACGTTGTGTGAGTGTGACATTGCTGAGCACATCTGTGCAATGTGGTGCAAGCAGGCACACACTCTCCTGGGCTCTCTTCTACCTTACTTTGTGTCTCTTCAAAAAGAAGAGGATGCTCTTTCTACTGCAAGCATTTTTAGTTCTTCCAGCCCATAAACTGCCAAATATAGATGTGTGGGGACTTCAAAAGTTACACTTGCTGTCCATCCAGTTGCAAGATTTCATTTTTATTTGTGTCATTTATATAAAACAAACCTGGGTGCAAGCCATCCTCCTTGCCAGTATCCCAGGATCTCACCCTTTTATGTAGAACAGTAAATATTTTCAAGATCCTTTTGATCTTGGTTGGTAGCATATTTGAGTGTTCTGCTAAATGTTGTATAAAAAGGAGTTTATTCCAATGAACTCCGTTCATCTTTATAAAGAGTGACAACGACAGGATCGCTGCGAACGCTGCATCACACAGAATAAGGAAAAACATACTGAATTAATTAAGTAAATATTTTATAAGCCATTTTATGGCATCTGTAAACATTTGTGCGTTTTTCAGAATAAATACTCTCAAGTGCTGCTGTTTCTGTTTCCTAGTTTAGTGTCTATGCTACAACCATACCTAGAAATTCAGTCGGGGTTGCAGTTGCATTTATATAACAGATGCTGGGCAGCGTGGGCACCCCCAGACTAACAAGATGCTGATTGCAAACAAAGCCCTTGCCCTGTGAGCAGTTTGATTTGTGTGCTGGTTCTGCCCAGGGCTGTGTCAGGATTTGCTTTCACGTGCTGTGACTTAATGAGAGTATCTCAGAACGGGGAGGTGAGTAACCCTCTCTTTCTGAAACAGCTCGTGATTCCTTGCTGCTTGTGGGGATCTTTTCCAAAGGTGTTGATCTGGTGCTGGTACCAGTTCTCTTTTTAAACGTGATCTTTGCTTTTTCCTTGTGAGCTTCTAACGAAAACTGAATTCGTCATGTTTTTCTTTCTGAAAAAAAAAAATTCTAAAAAGGTCAAGAGTGGGTGTAGTAGATGAGAATTCAGAAAGGCATGGAACAAAAGCTGGATTGTAGGTTTCTTTGGCGTCACAGATTGAGGAGACTTCTGACATCTGTCCTTGAAGTTGGTGCTGTAAAGGCAGTTTGGGCAGTTGTGACCAGAAGCTGTGCTAAGACAGACCAGCAAGTAGGGATCAAAGGAATTAATTTACCAGGAAATACTTGAAAGAACAAAAGGACTGTGACTTAACCAAATGTGTAGGGAATATCATAATTCTGTTCAAACCCTGCATTCCTGGAGATTAAATAGCATGGGCAGAAGGAGATATTTTTAATGGTCCCAAGTTAAGTAAGGCTTTTAACTACCCACAGTGGACACAGAGGAGCACCCTTTTCCTTTCTGGAAAGCAGTTTGGTGTGTATTTAAACACTGACAGTGTCTCTCCTTATAGCATTCTCCTCCCCAGGCCAAACAAGCACAGTGAGTCCAGGCTTTCCCCACAGGACATATTTCCTAGATGTTCTCTGGAGCGACTTAACAATTTGCCATAAAACTGTTAAGGTCCAAGTAGTTGTTTTCAGCTTGTGCATTTAATTTGGAAGAAGGATTTATGTGCCCCAGAGCAAGCCTATTATTTCCAGCTATCTCAATCGGTCTAATAAAAGATATTACCTCATCTCACAAACCTTTATCTCATTTAGGGACTTACATCATCACAACTAAAACAGCTCTGCTTTTGCTGCCGGTGCGATAGACTCTGTGTCCTGTTCCCCCGGTGCTTCCTGTTGCTCCCAGTTTGTGCCTCGCTGTCTCTGGTTTGTCCTGTGTGCTTCTGTCTGTCTGTGTGCTGGGTTTTGAAGCTGAGGAGATGCTCAGACTCTGTCAAGCTGCTTTCTTACAGTTTTTCTACAATAGCATTTTAGACTTGTCCCTTAATGCTGTTGTCTCTACGGCTTGCAGGTTTTGGGGGTTTGGGTTTTTCTTAGGATGTTGGAATGCTGTACAAAGGACAGGAGGTGGCATTTGGGCTAGATGTGCTTGGTACCAATATGTGCCTTTTGCTGAGTGACTTAGAAACTTTTCACATTTTAGGAACTGTGGATGGACAGCAAGCTGAGGAGCCGAACACTCTACCGAAGGCCTGCGTGTAGACCCTGATGGTCGAATGAATGAAGGATGAAAATGCTCCCTGGAGTGGGTGTGTTTGGAACTGGCAGCGCCGCCCGGGTCCTGGTGCCCTTGCTGAGGGCAGAAGGCTTCTCCATTGAGGCTCTGTGGGGGAAGACTGAAGAGGAGGCCAAGCAGCTGGCAGAGGAAATGAACATCTCCTTCTACACGAGCCGGACCGACGATGTGTTGCTGCACCAGGACGTGGATTTGGTTTGCATCAATATCCCCCCACCACTGACTCGGCAGATTGCTGTGAAGGCTCTAGGTACCTTTTTATCTTTGGAGTTGGACCAAAAATCCGTAGCTCGTTGGCAGATTGAAATTTGAAGGCGTTACCCCAGCACAATTCTGGTTGCACCAACGGGCAAATGCAGTGCTTCAGGTTTTGTGTGGAATTGGTAGTGCTGTCTGTGACAAAGGTTACCTAGGTTTCTTGTAAAAATCCTGTTTATAATTGCTTATAGCTCTGCTTGAACCAATTGGGCTGAAATATCTCACCTTCTTCAGGCTGAACTTACAGTAGGGAGTTTTTAATAAAAATCTGTATCAGAGATAATAATGAGAAGGTAAAATGTTTTCACGCTCATAAAAAGAAACAACAAAGCAATCAAAAAAAACCCCCCAGAACAAAACAATTTGTTTAATTAATTTCTAATTTTCCCATGTTCTGCACTAGAAAACCAAGAATTGCCTGGGATGGGAGGGTTGTTCAGTTCTCCTTTCTGATT